CTTTAAATGACATCTCCTCATAAACCACTGAGCCAATTTCATCCAAACTTCACTGGATGTTCCTTTGGTGGTCACCTTTAAAAATTGTTCAAAGAATTTAATTCCATGCAGAACTCTGGTTGCCATGGCAACCAAAAGAAAAAAGTTTAAATATCTTCTTTTAAAAAACCATAAAAGCTAGAGCTTAGATATTTGGCATGAAACATCTTCTAGTGAGTGTCAACCAAGTTTGTTCAAATAAAAGCCCTGGGGTCAAAATTGGCCCCGCCCCTGGGGGTCATTGATTTTCCCTATATGCATATAGTAAAAACTTAAAAAATCTTCTTTTAAAGAACCGTAAGAGCTAGAGCTAAGATATTTGGCATGAAACATCTTCTAGTGAATGTCTACCAAGTTTGTTCAAATAAAAGCCCTGGGGTCAAAATTGGCCCGACCCAGGGGGTCATTGATTTTCCCTATATGCATATAGTAAAAACTTAAAAAATCTTCTTTTAAAGAACCATAAGAGCTAGAGCTTAGATGTTTGGCATGAAACATCTTCTAGTGAATGTCTACCAAGTTTGTTCAAATAAAAGCCCTGGGGTCAAAATTGACCCCGCCCCAGGGGTCATAGATTTTCCCTATATGCATATAGTAAAAACTTTAAAAAATTTCTTTTAAAGAACCCAAAGAGCTAGAGCTAAGATATTAAGCATGAAACATCTTCTAGTGAGTGTCTACCAAGTTTGTTCAAATTAAAGCCCTGGGGTCAAAATTGGCCCCGCCCCGGGGGTCATTGATTTTCCCTATATGCATATGGTAAAAACTTAAATAATCTTCTTTTAAAGAACCATAAGAGTTAGAGCTTAGATATTTGGCATGAAACATCTTCTAGTGAATGTCTACCAAGTTTGTTCAAATAAAAGCCCTGGGGTCAAAATTGACCCTGCCCAAGGGGGTCATAGATTTTCCCTATATGCATATAGTAAAAACTTAAAAATCTTCTTTTAAAGAACCCAAAGAGCTAGAGCTAAGATATTTAGCATGAAACATCTTCTAATGAGTGTCTACCAAGTTTGTTCAAATAAAGCTCTGGGGTCAAAATTGGCCCCGCCCCAGGGGGTCATTGATTTTCCCTATATGCATATAGTAAAACCTTAAAAAATCTTCTTTTAAAGAACTCAAAGAGCTAGAGCTAAGATATTTAGCATGAAACATGTTCTTATGGGTGTCTACCAAGTATGTTCAAATAAAAGCCCTGGGGTCAAAACTGGCCCCGCCCGGGGGGGGGGGGGGTCATTGATTTTCCTTATTTGTGTACAGCAAAAACTTAAAAATCTTCTTTGGAAAAACCCAAATAGCTAGAGTTTAGATATTAAGCATGAAACATCTTTAAGAAAATATCTACAATGTTTGTTAAAATAAACGCCCGGGGGTCAAAACTGGCCCTGCCCCAGGGGTGACATTGTTTTTAACTATATGTGTATAGTAAAAACTTTAAAAATCTTCTTTTAAAAATGCCAATGAGCTAGAACTTAGATGTTTAGCATGAAACATCTTCTTATGGGTGTCTACCAAGTCTGTTCAAATAAACAAATAAAAGCCCTTGGGTAAAAATTGGCCCGGGGGTGGGGGCCTATATACAGGTGAGCGACCTCAGGGCCATCATGGCCCTCTTGTTTTTCTTTGCTGATAAAATGAACCGTTGCATGTATGTGTCTAGTCTCAATATTTCGACGGCTTTTATAATCTGATATTTCATAGATGTCTGTCTTAAGATATATGCGAGGATTGAGAAGGAATAAGTTCAAAATCAGGAATATCTTGGTCATGATCATTACCTGTAGCATTTTCAAAAGCTTTTTCAATTTCTGACTCAGTCATATTATCAATAATTGAATTTAATGAATAATTAGTTATATTTATATCAATTTCTTGTTGTGCTTCCATTTTCTTTGCAGAAGACAAAAATTAGTTGTTGTGGGATAGAAGTAAAAATAAAAATTCAACTCATTTTTAGCTCACCTTGCACAAAGTCTGTCCACATTTTATTCAAACGACATCTTCTACAATACCACTAGGCCAATATTAATGAAACTTGGCAGGAATACTCTTTGTATGAAGCTCTATCAAGATTGTTCAAAGAATGCCATTCCATGCTAAACTCTGGTTGCTATGGCAACTAAAAGAAAAAACTTAAAATTCTTATACTTCAAAATGGAAAGGGCTAGAGCTTAGATATTTCTCACAAGGCTTTAGCTTGTTAGTTTTTACAAAGTATATCCAAATTATGGTCTAGAGTTGAAAATTTGTCCCTGTTTTGGGAGTTAAATGGGTTTTTTATTGCAAGGTTATATAGACTTTCTTTGAAGCGATAAATTGAGATAGTGTATCTTGTATTTTTTGTCTCAACAGACATTGTTATGAAGATTTTTCTGTTAAAGCATAAGAAAAATGAAAAGTTTGTTGAATGTGAATATTAATTCAAAACAGAGTCAATCAGAATAGCACAAATTTGAGAGCTACAGTGAAGTTGAATTCCCCATTCAATAATGGATTCTTCCATTAATTTCGTAACACATCAGAAAGGAAGACTGTGTCATTTCCGAAATACAATGTGTAAAATATTTCGGTTCTTGACAATGACTTGCACATTTTATTGCGTAAGATATTGCACAAAGAAACGAAAGTGAACAAAAAATGTTGTTTTTTTCCACAAAAATTAGTTGATTAAGATAAAAGTTTAATTTACATTACGGATATTATTTTTTGTATCCTTCTGGTCTGCGGGAAAAATCATATATTTTAACATCGTCTACACCGGTCTTACTGACGAACGAATTACGTCATAATATTTCATTCTGAGAACAAACAAACGATTCAAATCATTAAATAATGCATACCAATCAGTCCTTAAAAAGTTTTGCCTCAGAAAACATCTGTATCAATCTGACCTCGAGTTGAGATTATAAATAGAACTAAACGGTGGTACCACTAAGATATGCAACGGAGATTTTTTGGCGCCACGGACGCAACGGGCGCAACAGAGTGCAAAGTTTAAAATGTGGCGATAAAATACGATTAGCAATGCATTGTTTAAATTTATATTAGTATGTGCTGAATAGAATAATATTTTGAATTTATAGAAATCATCTAAAAACAATATTTTCTATATTATAAGCATTGTATAACTATATATAATGTTGTAATACCACTCATATCTCCGTTGCGCAAACATTCATTGGCGCAACGGAGATTTATTTTTTTTCAAAACTAGCAAACAAAATACTTTTAATTGAATTTGCATTAGTATATACTAAATAAAGTCATATGATGATATTACAGAATCAATGTTAAGGTGACAACAGACACTTTCCGTGGAACTCATATCAATGTCATTTTAACCATATTATTTTAGTAATAATTGTTATTTATTTGAATCTTTGTGCATTAAATGTTGTTCACCATTATAAAAAATCAAAGGGCTGCAAGCTCTGTGGAATTTTCTGATCTTTGCAATCTAAATCATACTGACTATCTGTATGTATTTTCCTATATCAGTTTATTTTTATATACTATAATTCATCTTACGCAGCGACTTCTATAACAGTTTGAGATTGATACATATGGAATTTTGCATGACTAGAGTTGCATCAAAAATCATTTTTTATGACAGCCACACTTTATCCTTGCATATTGTGGCTACTTCCTTAAAAAAGACACTTCAAAAAAAAAAGTTGCCTCGACTAGGATTTGAACATTAGGCCTCTCACACCCTAAACGAGCCCGATACGAGCGCGATACCCCTGCACCACGGTGAAGTAATACGTAATATGTAGCCTGAATAAAAACAAATACATTGTAATTCTAAATTGAGAATTTCCATTTCGTGTTTGTAATCCTTATCAATTTCGAGGTATTTTGTTCACGATAAACCTGTTTAACACTGATAAAAATAATTTAGCGAAAATCTTCTCGCCAAAACAGTCCGTCATGTATATATTCCACTACTCGGCAGTGTACTACGCCCTGGAGTATTCAGTAATTGACATAGCTAAAAATAGCATTTTCATTGATTAAAATGATATTCATCCGCGAAATTTGTGATTGTAACCTCATATTTCTATTGACTAATCTGAACTTCCAATGCACTGTAATTCGTTAAATGCGTACATTAAAAATTATTCTGTCTTTTAAATTGCTGGTATTTAAGCAGTTTTGAGTGAGAACTACTTTGCGTTGTTAGGTCTGTTAGGAAATTTTGTGTTAGACCGTGGAAGTTAACTCTGTATTTACTGATCTTGCGATCAGAAAATACAAAAACATATTTGAAAAAATGCCTTTGTAAATGATTGATTTTGAATAAAAATCATAAAATTTTAAATTGTCATATCAAAGTCATTTTTTTTTTCTCTCGGACCCCTATGTTTCACGCTAAATAATTGCATAATACACAAATATAGCACCAGAGAGGGTCACAAGTTGCGGTAACATACTCTAACAACATTTTATGACCCAGTGACATCTGACCAATTAAAGAGCTGCAGATAAATATCAGTTAATAGCAAAAATTTCTTTAAATCTTAATATGATTTACTGTCCGTCTGGTATCTGTTGCACATGTCACGTGACTATCTGTAAAATTTGAGGCACTCGGTGGGGGGGGGGGGAAATGGAACGCATTTGCGCACCGCTAGCGGGGTAGTTAATTGCAGCGTTTTACATCTCTTTGAAATTTTAGGGGTCCAGTGGATGCACAGCCTAGAAAAGTAGGGGTCCAGGCCAGAATTTTAGGGGTCAAAAATTATATTCACTATAAAAGACTATGAAGACCACTCTATTTTGCTTAAAATCATTTATTTACCCTGTAAGAAATATGCATGTATATTGTACTGTTTTCATAAGAGGTATATGATTTCAATATCTTTTCTATAAAAAAAAAAAAATCTCTGTTGCGTCCGTTGCGCCAAAAATCTCCGTTGCGTATTTTAGTGGTACCCCTAAACCGGAAGTACATGTGACGAAACGAAACGTCCGCCATGACGTTCAAGAAAATTGAGAAATTTTGTAACATTAACTCGTATTTCATAACAAAGAAGTGAAGATGAATACAATTATCGGTGTGCTTCGTTGAAACAGGTATTTTGTTAACTATTTGTGAAGTATTAAGGCATGACATTCAGTATTTATGTAAATATCAGCTCCCGGCGTCCCGTGTTATGATTTATAAAATGGAAGTGGCTAGCCGTACGGGCCCGTACGGCTAGCCAAAAGTTCTAGCCGTACGTGAGTCACGTACGACTAGCCAGGACACACTGTATTGGATAGCCGTACGGCACTTTTCAAAAATATATGGAAGGCGATATGAATATGTTAATTATGACTTTAAGCGAGGATTTTAGTCAAGAATGTTTACTTTTTAGAGATAAATCGACGTGTTGGCTACAGTACAGTAAAGAATTTACTGTCATCTCAAGACGTCGAGAAAAAATAGCGTTTGGTTGCAGTTAAATAACATCAATTGAAATAGTTTACAAAATTTTGATAATAATCCTTTTTTGTTTCATTAAGTTTAATTTTTAAATTGAAAAACAAAAAAACAACAAAAAAAAAAACACCGAAAATAATTGTTGTTGGGCTCTAATAATTGCGTCAATTACCACGGTATAGAAGTTTGTCCATCGTCCATCATTAAGAAAAGTTTGCATTATTAAATTATTTTTCCTTTTCACCGTTTTTTTTTAATATTCTTTTTATTTATTTACTTATTCCCCTCCGATCATTATTTATTCGATCCATGTGCTTAATTAACAGATTTAACAATTCATCTTTCATACAAATCATAAGCATGAAAATTAAGGACGTTATAACATGCAACTTTGACACTTAATTTTATTAAGAATGATTATACAACGCTTACTCGTATTCATTTTTGTGTGCAAAATTGCGGAGCATCTTTATTAAAGTGAACACACTAGGACAAATGCAGAGATTTGATTAAAATCGTTGTTTAAAGACACGAAATAACATATGCATTTTCGACTTCCATATAATTTTGAAAAGTGCCGTACGGCTAGCTAATACAGTGTGTCCAGGCTAGTCGTACGTGACTCACGTACGGCTAGAACTTTTGGCTAGCCGTACGGGCCCGTACGGCTAGCCACTTCCTTATAAAATTATAGAGTGGTTGGACCAATGCTCGGCGCATACCAACCCTTAGGAAAAGGAAAGGCATTTAACTTGTAGTTATATTGCAGTTATTTAGCAGTTTTTTCAAATAAATGCCTTTTTTACAATTTTTTGCCCTTCATCTTAATTTGTAGGATTCCATTTAAACAGCAGTTCTTAAAAAACTGGTAAAAACTTGTTGTTAAAAAACTTGTGTCCAGCATTTTTTACCAGTTTTTCAACATTTAAAAATAAATGGTGATGTTAATCAATACTTACATTACCATTTTTTACAAGTTATTTTCTTGAACCATTTTTTTAAGCTAAAAGATTGTGACAGAAGCTGCAGTTTTTACAAGTTTTATTTAAATGCTTTTAGGAAAATATAATTCATGCACACTAATATTCACTTAATACCTTGTAGTGCATCATAGCAATATTGTATGTGTACAACTCACCGGTGTGGGGTGTAAATTTACTTTCAAACTGAGTCATGCCGTCCAGAGGCAGCAAAAGAAATCACATGAACAAACCCTGTCGTCTTCTCTTTTTTTTTTTAAAACTCATGAGCCAGATAGTTTGTCTGTACAATGTGAAGGTTGTAGTTTACAATGCCTGCGACAGAGTTGAAACTCAGACACTAGCTGTTGTATTTTATAAATTATACTGCTTGCGGTAACGTAAATGGCAAATAGACTCTTGTGCAGATTTTTTCACGTGTCAAATTTGTGCATTTCCAAATTTTCACGAGTCAAAACCCGAATCTCCGCCTGAATTAAAGTAGGCCTATATGTGGCAGGTCATATTTATGCTGACGGAAATTAACGATGATAACTTAGTCTTTACTTAACCAGCGAACCTTTACGATTATACTCGAGCAATTTCCGTATATTTACGCTAAACGAGACGAGCATAATTTCATGACGTATTTAATACGTATACTGATGACGTAGCAACACAATTGTTTTGGAAACTACTGTAGCTTTGTATGAAATTCAAGCGCTTGTTGGCTAAAATAATAGATTTGTGAAATAAAATTCAACGATATAAATTGAAATTATTCAGTCATTGTATTGACGGCAAAAACAACGGAACTACACGAAATTTTGCGAATCAAGCACATGTTACTGACGTAGTACACAGGTTTTATTACGTAGAACACAGGTTTATTGTGCGCGCAATATTCAAAGACGGCAGACACTTCGTCTCATATCGACAGTGAACTGATATCGTCTCCCCAATAAAGACATACAACGAGGAAGGTGAAATAGCCCAAGCAAATTATCAGAAGAAGACCTTCAAAGCTGCAATCGGTGAAATTCACTGTGAGTATTATCATAAATGCACTGTTTTTTTCCCAAACAGAGACGGCGTGTTTATGACCTCTAGAAAAAAATGAAGAGTCTAGAGATTATTTTAATGACCTTTCTTCACGCCTAAAAGCATTATTTTGTAACAATTTGCCGACTGTAACAATAGAAATAATAATTGTATTTCCAGCTTATTCCTAGTTACAGTTAAGATACTTAAACCTTACTGGAAAAAATGCGTAAACGGACATTTGTCACATATTTTCGCGACCTGTTTTCATTTATTTCTTTGTTGAACAGGAAAGATATAATAATAATAAATAAAAAACAAAGCATCGTTAAATATGGCTGTGCTTCCCTGCAGGAAATTATTTGCTTATGCCCTTTAAAAATATTGAAATTTAAAATATTGTTTTGAAAAATGCATGGCTAGAAAGTTTTTTTTACACCCAGACAGTGCAATACACTAGTATGCAGACAGTTCACTACCTTAGCAATTTTGAACTTGTATTAGAAAAAAAAGTTTTTCATAAAGAAACAATATTTTCATATGACCATTAATTTATGTAGATCTAGTTATATATATATTTTCCAGGAACGATGGTTAGGAAACTACCCGCCTATATGACTGAAATACTGTTGAAAAAGGCGTAAAATGAAACAAACAAACAAACATATATATATTTAGAACAAGATCAACAAGAAAAGATGATGTTCAATAAGCCTACATCATGTCTGTATTTTAAAATAACACATTACTGACAGACTGTATTTTTAAATCACAATAAGATACCTCCAAAAATTTATTTGAAACAGAAATCATGTTTTCTGTTTGTTTTTGATTTATGTGTGTGTTTGTGTGTGATTTAATCTCTAGATTTCTGTGCATGTATAGGAATTATTGGACCACTAAAAAAGTTGTCTAGGCCACCAAAATGTATCGGTCATTCAGTGGTCCAAGTGACAGCCTAGCTAAAATGGTTTGTCTTTGACACTGTCTAAGCCTATACTAGAGAATCTGAATACTGGTCCATTAAAATAAATCCCACATGATGATTTGCAAAGAACAAAAATAGCACAAACAGTGTCATACTTTAAGCACTAACCTGAATACATTGCCTCTCAGTCATTGAATTTAAGATTTTTGAATATACTCGTCCGAATTCCAGTTTTGAATTTATTCTACTATATATTTAGGTCTTTAAAATTTACACTGGTCATGGGCCACCGGGCCAGTGCTAAATTCGATGACTGTAATCTGTTATTGTATTAGGGGGCAGGACATGAAGTGGTTGAACACGCTTGAACAAGATATTTTTGTGGCCCCACTTTAGTGGCGGCATTTAGATTTACCCTTGTCCGTCCGTTCTCTTTTGTGTCACACTTAACTCAAAAAGTATTTGACTTAGAGTCTTGACTTAGTAAAATTTTGCAATTTTCAACTTGTGTCGCATGTAACTCAAAAAGGAATATTGATCAGCATGTATAGTTGTGCACCTGGGTATTTTCGTTTGGATTTTTTTAGTATTTTTAGAGTTATTGCCCTTGACTTAGTAAAAATTTTGCAATTTTCAACTTGTGTCGCATGTAACTCAAAATGGGTTTGACATAGAGTCATGAAACTTTGCAGGAATGTTGATCAGCATGTGAAGTTGTGCACTGGATATTTTTCGTGTGGATTTATTTTATTTTTTTAGAGTTATTGACCTTGACTTAGAAAAATTTTTGCAATTTTCAACTTGTTGCATGTAAATCAAAAAGGATTTGACATAGAGTCATTAAACCTTAAGGGAAGGTCGGTCAGCATATGTAGTTGTGCACCTTGGGTTCCGCTTGTGGATTTATCCCGTATTTGTAGAGTTATTTCCCTTGACTTCGTAAAAACCGTTTCATTATGTTATGTTATTTGTTCCTTCAGTGCTTGAGTTAGAATCAACCAACTTTACAGAAATAATGATCAACATCACTAAATTACAGGAATAACAATGATAATAAATAATAATAAAAAAAATGCACAGTATATTTTCATTAGTTTTGCTTTTTTTGGTGAACTTCAAAACTTACCTATGTGAATATAAATGAGCATAAAAACCGCCCTGGATTTTCACTTATCAAATTTCAAAATATGTACATGACCAGTTTATAACTTCAATAGCTTTGTTTAACCAAAAGCTTCAAATCTGAGGCCCAGAACAGAGTGTGTCATAAACACGTCCTTCATGAATGGCCATTTAAAAAGAAATCAAATAACATACAAACCCACTTACCTGAAAAAAAATATGTGAGAGTTTTGTAAATATTTAAGACACAGAAACCATTTTGTCAAGTTTGCAATGATTTTACTTGCTTGAACCAAGTGTGCATCCACTTCACGTCCTGCCAAGTGATTTGTATTTATTTCGTTTTCAAATATCTTGGTATATTTCCATATGTAGAGAAATGTATTTGTTTGATTTCAGATAAGAATTGGTACCACAAGGCCACAAAGGGAGGAGTTCAACTAATTTGTGGATGATGTTCAAAGCTGAGGAGAGTGAGAGCTTAAATCTATAAAACGGGTCAAAAACTTTTGATAAAGAAACTGTCATAAATTCTTCAGGTAATTGAAAGAGGGCAAGTTGTACAAAAATGCCATGGAGCTAAATAAACATGGAGAAGAAA